CTCTATTCAGCTGCTTGTTTAGAGAATAAAAAACAGAAAAAAAACAATTGATATTTGGAAATATATTGAAGCCAAGTACCCGTTTAAAATTCTGTAAACCTTCCAATTTGGTGGTGGGGTGCTTCACTGTTCTAAGCTATTTCTAAGGCTTTGTCTTAATGAAAGCCTTTTTTTTTTTTTAAATCTAAAACACTGCTAACATTGAATTTCCAACATCTACTATAAAGATTAGGTTTTAAAAATTTTCCTTTCAGAAAAATAGTGAGAAACCCATTTCTTCCATAGAGAATGCTCACTAAAAATGTGTTAAATTTAATAGAAATGTAAAAGTGAAAGTTGCTCAGTCGTGTCTGACTCTTTGTGACCCCATGGACTATATAGTCCATGGAATTCTCCAAGCCAGAATACTGGAGTGAGTAGCCTTTCCCTTCTCCAGGGGATCTTCCCAACCCAGGGACTGAACCCAGGTCTCCTGCATTGCAGGCAGATTCTTTACCAATTGAGTCACAAGGGAAGCCCAAGAAAACTGGAGTGGGTAGCCTATCCCTTCTCCAGGTGGATTCTTTACCACATGAGCTATCAGGGAAGCCCTAATAGGAATGTAAACTTTGTCTAATACAGATCTTATCCAACTTTCCAGAAGGTGATGACTCTGCTCCTTTTGGACTTATTTTTGTCCATATGACATTTTTGTCTGTAGAGTGTGCGAGTTTTGGTCATAATCTTGAACCATCACTTGGTATGAGATTTTTGTATCTTATATAAAAGCAACCAATTCATCAGTTTTCCTTGGTCACATTTTCTATCAAATGAGATACTGACAAAGTATTCTTTTAAGCATCATTTATGAACTTACCTTCAAGAAAAATCACAATACATAGACCCCTTTCCCCCAAACTCCTCTGCTACAGATATTATAAGATTTAGGGCAGGAGGAGAAGGGGCAATAGAGGACGAGATGGTTGGATGGCATCACTGACTCAGTGGACATGAGTTTGAGCAAGCTCCGGGAGATGGTGAAGGACAGGGAAGCCTGGCCTGCTGCAGTCCATGGGGTCGCAAAGAGCTGGACATGACTTAGCAGCTGAACAACAGATATTATTATGTAATGAAGGTAGTGTATTGCAAAAAGACAAAAAGATGCCACTGGATTGAAATCGGTGTTGTGCCTGGTCACTTTATTAGGAAAAGTATGAATGCAAAATGATGATACTTGGGGAACTCCCCTGGCAGTTCAGTGGTTAAGACCTGAACTTCTTCTTAGAGAGCTGGGGTTCTATTTCTGGTCAGTGAACCAAGATCCTGCATGCCATAAGGCACACCCCCTCTCCAAATCATTAAATTACTTTAAAAATGATGATGCTTAGTCCAGAATACCAAATAAATATAACCAAAGGAACATCTCTTAAATAAACCTTTTCTTTGTATGAGGTCATTTGTCATACTCTACACAAGGACAGCTTTCTGTGAGATATGAGGTTAACACTTGTCTGTCCCAGAGAACATTCTCTTTCAACCTATTCTCCTGCAGCTTCCCCCACACACCTTTCTGCCTCAGAATGATTTTATAGATCACCTAAGGAAAGGTATTTGCAGATGACGAGTCCAACCAATATGAAGTTAAATCTATTTTGGCCCGCCAAATGAATAGCCAGGAGAAAACTGTTTCAGAGGAAATGCCCAATATCTTCCTTTCTGAGATCTATGTTAAAATTAAAGAGCTTTAAAGTCTATATGATTTGTTAATTTCTGCCTTATTATTAAGGAGACTTTACTTTCAGAATATTTTTTTATTGGGTCCATGTAAGAAAATTTGACTTGGGCTTCCTTGGTGGCTCAGTGGTAATACATGCAATGCAGGAGAGGTGTGCAGGAGACAAGGATTTGATCCCTAGGTTAGGAAGATCCCCTGGAGAAGGAAATGGCAGTTCATTCCAGTATTCTTGCCTGGAGAATCCCATGGACAGAGGAGCCTAGCATGAGTCGCATGGAGTCGCAAGAGTTGGACCTAGCAACTGAACAAAAACAGAAAGGAAATCTGACTCCTTTCTGATAGAGATTGGGGATGGGTGGTGGTCATGGTGGTAGTACATTATTTGGAGGAATGAAATAGACTTTTTAATTCCTGACTTTAAATCTAGTCAGAATATTTAAAATGAAAAATTTAAAGTTATCAATTATTTGCAAATATTAACGATAGATAAGAGAAATATTAATCCAATGAATTTTGAGGATTCCCATGACCATATCATTTAAGTTAGATTTGGCCCTTTGGGGAAAAATAAAGCATGCTAACTTGTCTAGGTTTCCTCTCCCATTCCCCCCCCCCCCTTTTTTATAGGGAGGTGAAAGAATAATACATTCAGAATCATTACTGTGAGAATTCAAGTGATTTAACTTCAGCACACTAATGCACTTAAAAAAAAAAGTAACTAAATAATGTATATCAAAAGTGTGCTGAAATTACTCTTAAGAGCTTCACAAGAAAAGTGGCTTGTTTTATTCTTTTGCTAGACTATTTCATTACCATAATTTCCAAGCATGCAGAGATGCCATAAAAACTCTCCAAATTACTTGAGTATCACTGGTCATTTTTTTTTTTTTTTGGAAACACATACTTTCACATCCATAATAGCCAAGAGAGAGCTAAACTGAGTGTCAAAACCAAAATGTACCCCCAAACAAAGGCTCTTCAAACTGCTTCACAAGGCCACAAACAGAAACAATCTTTGCTAACGTTTTCCAGTAGAGGGAACTAAAGATTCACCATCCAGCTTTTAACTGGACTCGGGAACCTGCGTGAGTTCGTATAGCCCGCCTTGTAATCATCCGAACAAGCATCAGACAGCTTACCAGCGAGCCTCTGATCACACGTGGGCCGGCCCACTCGGCCACACCGGCGGCTCCGCAGATACTAGGGCCTCTTTGATCTAGCGTGGCCTGCCTTAATCATTCCGGTCCTGAATGGCATTCGCTTGGTGGGTTCTACCTTAATTTTCAGGATTTTCTCATCTCTGAGCTGGAATTCGGCTGTTTTTGAGCTTCGTTAGCTCGGTTGGGTTTACAGCTTTCCCTGATACTGTATTTTCCGAATTTCCTTTCAGAGGTTCTAGTCTCTGGAGGGTGAGGACTTCGGGTACCGCCCACCGTCCCCCTAATCCCCTCTCTTCTCTCCATCCCAGGCGTTTTCTGCTAAACTCCCTAGCATCCCACCATCCCACGTCAAACTCATCTTTGAGGGTCATAAAGCAACTGAGCAACATGCAGAAGAGGGGTTATCAGCCTCCACCTCCCCCGGGGATTCCTCAGGGGGTCGTGATCTTGGGTAGAACAGGTCAGGAGAGGCTAGAGATCTCTGTACGACCCCCACCCGCCCCACACCCGGTTTCTTTCTTGCGCCTTTTTAACGACGGAGAGAGCACCCCCACACAACCTTTCCGCTCCAAACGGTGCTTATATTGTTACCTTTCCTTTCCTCCCTCCCGCTCAGCTTCTCATTCTGCTAAAAGGTGAAGACAGTGAATGTTTGTGTGATTTTAACGGGTAATGAGGCTGCGCCCTAGGTCCGGGAGGATGATCTTTTTCCAGAAAGCGCGTGCATCTCCGGCAGACTGGAGGGATGAATAATTAGGAAGCGCTTCCATGAAATCACTCACCGAGAAAATTACCTGCCCATTAAACCGGACGCGGCGAGGAGCGAGAGGCTAAAGCCCAACTATCCCCTCCCGAGGCGGGAAGCAGCGGGAGACGGGGCGGCGCAGGGAAGGGGAAGGAGTGGACCGGTGGCCTGGGCTCCGAATTTGTTAATTTCCGTCCCGCTAGGATTCTGAGCTTTCCAGCTCTCCCTGGCCCCTTTGCCCAGCGGGCGGCCGTCCCTTGTGCGGGCGGGTGGCGGAGTGTGGAGGTGCAGGTTCGGAGCACCCCCTCATCACCCGCGCCCCATCCCCTCCCCCGGGCAGACTCCAGGCAGCTTTCATTCCTCCCCTCCCCTCCCGCCTCCTCGCCTTCCCTTCTCTAAGTCCTTCCACCCGCGGCAGCTGCAGGAGGAGGCGGACGCTCTGCTGCGGGGCCGGGGGCGCAGCGGAGGCCGGACCAGGGGCACTGGCGGCTGGACCCCGGCGGGCGGCTGGACCGCGCGCACGCTCCCTCGCTCTCCCGCGCCGGGGCTCCCGGGCTCACCCGCCCCGCTCTGCTCCCGCCCGCCGCCGCCGCCCCGGCTCGCGGGCGCTCGGAGGCGGCACCGCGGGGGGTGGCCGCAGCCCCAGCCCTGCCCCTCCCCTCCCTCGCTGCTTCCTCCCCTCGCTCCCCGCCGCCCCACCACGTAGGAGTTCGGATTCTCCACCCGCCTCGTCCCGATTTCCCTTTGCCTCTCTTTTGGAAACGCGAGAGGTGAAGGGAGGCAACGAGGTGGCGGACGAGAGGCTGGCCAAGTCGGCCCGCCTGCAAAGTGGTGCTCTGACACATCCTTATTATGGAAGTTAAGTGAAAAAACTCGGGACGTGGAGCGGCTACCGAGACGGACGCCGGGGGAAAGGAAACCAGTGGGCAGGCCAATGTTTTTTTTCGGCAGCGCGCTGGCAAGTTTGTGGAACACTTTCTAGGAATTAGGTCTTTTTCCTCCCCCCGACCTCCCTTCATCTTCTTGACTTCTGAAGAAAGAACTTGGCTTTGGATTGCCATGGAGCCTGAGGGGAGAGGGTTAGACACACTTGAGTAACCCCTCCGGCTGGGCTGAATTCGTGGGAATTTAGGAAGCCAGAGTGTGGAAATACAGCAGCCTTTGGCGCGCCCTCGGTTAATTTGGATGGATCCAAATGTGCGCCCTTCAACATCTCGCCACTCTCCCCTTCTGATCTTGCCATTTGCTCTTCTCGACTTTAATTAGCAGCTAGGAAGAGTCTAAACTTTGGACCTACCTCTTTTTTTGATACTTATTTTTGTACTTTTTGCTCTCTGGGATTGGTTTCTTAAGCAATCTGGATCCTTTTTAATATGTCAAAATGAGTCGGCTGATGTTTACACAAATACTGCTCTGTGGATTTTTATACGTTCGGGTTGATGGTAAGTTAAAATGCTTTTATCTTGTTCCTCATCCCCCAGAAACATTTCTCTCTGAGTCGGATGTGGGCTGTAAATAAAAATGACATTATATCTGTCGGTCCCTTTTGGCCAGGCATGGGAGCTTTGGGGGAGCAGAGGTTTTAAGTCTTTTGTTTCTAAACTGCTGCAAGTGGAACGTGTTAGGACTCACCTATTGTTGCAATTAATTAATTAAGGAGTTGGGTAATAAATGATGGGCTCTCAGTTTTGTTAGAAAAAAGAAATATGAAAGTAAATCTCTTTAACCAGTCTAATAGTCTTGGGCTTGCTCTCCCTTTGGGGTTGGTTGGTTCTTCTATCTGAACTTTGGCTTAGAGATTCTTAGTAAGTCATGGACACCCCATGAAGGTTTAGTGGGTTAGGAATTTGAGACACAGTTACCTCGAATCAATGTGTATCACCTGTGTGTTGATGAGTATTCTCCTAGGGGGATAGCAGAATGAAGATTTAGATCATAGGGAGAAAACTGTCAAAAGTAAGACTGGGCGAGGCTCCAGGAAGGGGGAAGCAGAAGCTGTGGGCTGGCCCTGGGGCTCAGAACACTCAAATCTGTCCTCGGTGGCAAACACAATGGGGATCTGAAACAGGTGCTCTAGGTGTCTGCCTCTAGGTTGAGTCAGTCTGTCAAGCAGACAGCATTCTCTCTCTGCTTCTCCTGTCTTTTGTTCGGATTTGGTTTCCTGGGATAGTTTCACTGGATGTCAGTTTCCTGTGGGAGGATCGCAAAATCCTTTTTTGTAGCTCTTTTGAATGACGAGTGGAAGTAATCATTAAAGCGCTTTTTCTGTTTGTTCCAAAGAAGAATGTCAAAAGAACATTTGGTATTCACCTTCCAGTGACTTTAATTTTCACATCGCTGGGCAGAATTGGTCTAAAAGGGATTAGAGCATGATATCTTTTGCCTGCCTGTGTGGATTGTCATACTTTAGATTTTAGTGACTGTACGTATAAAGAATCTGAGGTGTATTGGCCCAGATACTTGAGCCATCTCAGTAGCTTGTTGCTACATCAACTTTCTTCCAGAATTTGCATGGTGGGCGAAGTCATTATTTGGGACACTGCCTATTTTTGCTTGCCTGTAGAAGCTAACTTTGTTCCTGGCAGCTGCTGCTGCTGTCCAGAGCTCGATGTAGCAGACTCAAAAAGGAAGCCTTTCTGTAAACATGAGGCGATACAGATGAGTTTGCCTCCTGTCAAGTGGCTGTTTTCAATCCTGGACTACAGGAGTACCTATGCCCCCCAGCGATAGCAGGCAAGGCATTCAAGTGGACACACTGCTTTTTTTCCCTTTTCTTTTTTCCCTTCTAAGTTGTAGATGCATAGGAATGAATCACTTTGGATTATACCATGATAATATCTATAATCATATCTACTCATTCACCAGACATTTTCTTCTATACATTTACCTTTGTAGTGCATTTACATGACCAGAACAAAAAGGTTTACAGATTTGTCCCAGGTGTCTTGATTATCATCATGAGAAGACTTTGATATAACTTTTTGGATAATATATCCTCAAAAGCCTGAATTTGTATATTTCAATACCAGAAATACATGTATAAACTATATATTAGACTACAGAATTATTACCAAGTTTTTTTTTTTTTTTTTTTTTTCTGGAGTCATTGTGTAGCTAGGAGGAATACAATTAAATTGCTCAGTGGAAGTGACAGAGGGAATCAGAAGAGCTTGGTGTTACAGAATGTAATTAATGTACCGGGGTGTTTGGAGATATATGAAACAAATGCAATTAACCAGTTTGCTGGAACAGCAGTAGCAAGACATCATTTCTCCCCTCCCTGCCCTCCCTACTGTCCTAGCCCCCACCCTATTCCTCTCTCCCTTATTTCCTTCCTCTTCCCCCCACCTTGTCCCTCCAGCCCCATACATACACCTAGGACCTTTGTTCTGATTTAATAATATAGATTACAGGGGGTAGTTTGTGTTTGGGACAAAATTGTGCAGCAAAATTCATGGTAATGTAGTGAAAAATGCCCAGGGTGGAGGAGTTGAAAAGGTCATAGTAAATTGTTGTGTGTGTGAAACTAGTTTTTCTATTTAGCATCTACTATGTCCAAAGCAGTGGAAACTGTGGACACTTATTGAATTAGTACATAAGTCATACATTTGACATTGGATTGCCTTTGATTTACTCTCGAATGATGACAGCCCCCTCCATAGGGATTGTTGAAAATTTGGGATGTAGACAACACTGCCCTCTAGGCTGTTTCAGCACACTGGGACTGCATGTTCACATGTATAATGAGGGGGTTGGTTTGTAGGATCTCTAAGCTTTCTGACTTTTCCAGGGCTCTATGATTTCTGTTTACTTATTATCCTTCTTAGAAGCATGAGCTTATTCTCCCCATGAATTTCAAATTTAGAGAAGCTTGTACCATTTCAAAGATATACTGACTTTCCTTGTGGTAGACACAGAAATTAATTTTATTCAGTGACAAATGATACATAGATTTGCATTGAAATTTGCTTGGTGGGTTATTTATATGTGCATTTTTATGGTATATGAAAAATGTTAGACTTTTGCATCCTCATGGAAGTTATGTGCAAATATGATTTTTCTGTATCTTATGTCCTTAGGAACCCACAGAGAATAAAAATTAAGTTAGTTGAGAACTACAGACAAACTTTTATATTGGGATGTAAATAAAGACTATGTCATCCAATACAGATTAATTAACCAGATGCAGATTTTTCTTTTACGGTTATGTATGTGAATATGTATTGAGTTTAGCCTTTGTTCTCCAGATTTTCTGTATTTCTAAATACAGAAATATGGTTTTATAATCGTTTACAGGGAACTAATAGGAACCATCACAAGACTGTTTGATTACAACCATATTCCATACATTGTGTCAATTTGATAATTTTTGAGTACTGGTGAAAATTATGTTTTTAAAATGAAAATAGTTTCTTGTCCTTAACTATTCTAAAATGAAAATGGCACATGTGATATTTGGGGAGATAAAGATGATCTGTGTGTGTCGTGCAGATGTATAATCTCATATAGGTTTATGCATTTTGCTAAAGTGCTTCTTTCAGTAATGGGCTCATTATCCTAGCCATATGTAGTCCATTTCAGTACTTAAATTGCCTATAAGTAACCTGAAATTTCTTCGTGCAACTATGCACTAATATCACGTTTGAATTGGCTTTGTTTGAATAACCTTTGATTCTAGACAACATGTGGACCATAAACCAAAAGGGTTTCTTAAAACACAGAAAAAAAAGAGTATCTCAAAGGAAAAAAAGGTCATGATTATACAAAAAGAACACTTCTAGCCATGACATCCTTGAGCAACCTGTATAAAATAGCATCCTTGCTAATAAAAATATGGGTGTCCAAGGACATTGCTTCCATTTGGGTACATATATAGTAATGAAAGGAGCTTCTATATGTAGCTTCTTCATGTCTGACTCTTTGTGTCCAGTTAACATCTGCTTCAGCAGTTCCTGCAGTCTATAAGAGATGTTTATTTTCTTCCTTTGTGCAATTTGGTTTATGAAGAGTTAGAAGAAAACATTTTCTTGTACTTACTTACTTCTTCTAGTTCTCTTCTTTCTCTTGCTCCTCCTGTTTCCCTCCATCATTTCCTCCTCCTCCATTTCTTCCTTCCCCTCCTCCTTCTTTTTTGGAGCCAGTGGAAGGAATCATAGAAACATTTGAAAAGTGAGGAAAATAGGTGATAGTGTTTCTTGGACAACAATTTAGAAAATCTGCATTTAAAGGAGATTATGTTAATAATATTTTAACTTTGGACATACCCACTTGGGACCCTGACATCATTTTTCTTTTACTGTCCTGTATAGCTTTATGTAAACTTATGTAGTTCTTTTCCCAGCTTTGGCAGACAGAAGTCTATGGATGTGAGTTCAACCAGAAAGTTATATAGTGCTGTTTTATATATTCGTCTTCAAAGAGGAGTGTCGTTATGTTTCTTACAGTGTTTCCAGGTATAGACGTAATCAACCTAAATCAAAGACATTGATACTGATGATGATTTTCTTCTTTTAAATTATTAAATAAAGCATGAATGGATGATGACAAAATATTTTAAGGGGAAATTTCCATAAACTCTTACAATGTTTCGGCATAGTAGAAATCTTAATATAGTATCTAAAGTTTATTGTGTGTATGCTTATGTGTGCATGCTGGGTCATGTCTGACTCTTTGTGACCCCATGGACTGGAGCCCAGCAGGATCATCTCTCCATGGAATTTTCCAGGCAAGAACACTGGAGTGGGTTGTCATTTCCCACTCCAAGGGATCTTCCTTATGCAGGGATTGAACCTGCATCTCCTTCATTTGTAGGTAGATTCTTAACCACTGCATCACCCCGGAAGCCAGAAGTGTAGCACATTCAACCCCCAAAACCTGTCTTAAACTCAAAACAATATTGGCATAATCTAGAATTCAATCCTTAGTGTTTTCTTCTTTTGCTCTGTTTGCACCTAATACTTAATATCTTTCATTTGGTCACATAGGTTTTAAATCCTTTATGCTGATACTTCTCAAATTGCCCTTATCACGTGTGGGGAGAATATTAGTTCCATGAGACTAGAACTTGGCTCTTCTCTATACCTTTGTATCTCCAGTGTCAATACATTACTTGACATATCCAGCTGACTACATGACATCTTTGCTTGGTATCTAATAAGAATATATCAAACTCGAATGGTAACTAATTTGTTGAGCTGATCACTCCCCAGTGTATACAAATAGCTAATCATTGTAATGTACACTTGAAACTAATATAATGGTATATAGTGATTATACCTCAATAAAATTATTTAAAAAATGAATATAGCAAACTCAAGCCCAGGATAGAATTTACTCCTCTTTCCAGTCATCTCCAGCTCAGTAAATGGCGTCACCATTCACAGAGGTTTTCGTGATCCAAAACTAGAAATCATTTTTGATTTCTCATAGCCCATATCTGACT